GGAACCTCAAGAGTTTGCAAAACAGGGCAAGAAGCCTCACCTGGGCTCAGCTGAAACCCAGAGCAGGCAAGCATTTTGAAAGCTATCCAAAATTTTTCCACACGTTACCAAAAAAATAATAAAAAAAAATCCCTGCCTCAACTTTTAGCAAGAATTACAGCAATCTGAAGATTTACTCAATATGACATTTCAGGATCTTGGTGCTTTCTAGGGGAAGGGTGGCCACGCTCTCACCCCTGAACCCAAAGGGGTAGATTGGTGAGCCTGGATTTCATCATGATGCTGCACATGTGCAACCAAAGGGTCCCACAGTCCATCTGCAGCACATCTCTCCACTTTCAGATTGCTGTGGTTACTCATGTAATGCTCCCAAATTATGGAGACTCCCTGGCTCAAGGGCAGGTATCTTACTTAGCCTTGGATTCCTCCCCTAAGAACATCCTCTCCTTCCTTTCTCCCTGGCTGATTAGAAGCAAATAAAACAAAAAGAGGGGGGGAGAGAAAAAAAAAATCAGATTACTGAAATAACCAGAATACTGAAATTTATCTGCCTTTTAAGAGTTTAACCAGATTTGATTATCTGAATAAGAGTATTTGGATACAGTTCAAATTCCAGGGTACACAATTACATTCTGCTTATCATGAATCCCATTTGCCACTGCATATGGTTATTCTAATTACCAGAATGCTATTGTGTGCTCCTCTGCTGACAAGGGCTCACTGTGCTCCACACCAGGCTGGGAAAAGGGGGAGCACACACAAAATATATTCATTTTCATACCCCAGTGGGTACCACACAACGTCCTGGCCTGCAAGAACCTCACAGGTGCCTTCAGTGAGAGCTGTCAGCAACGGGAATGAGAAACAGTTTTGTTATTTGGAGGGAGAAAGGAACGATTTACAAAATCTGTGGGGGAAAAAACAAAAAAAAAAAAAGAGGATTCTGCTTTGGGAAAGCTTTGGTTTGCTTCCTCAGGGAAGAGCTGCTGGTTTAAACTCTGGCTTTGGCCAAATGAAACCCAAGTGCAGCAAAGCCTCCCCTAGATGCAATGTGGCCTCACAGTTCCACAGGAGGCTTTTTTGATTTTTACCTCCAGGGAGGCACTAAAACAACAACTCTGCCTCTTGCCAGAGGAAGGGGCTGCACGAATCGAGGCACCAATTTTTGGGAGAGGATATTGGGACTTCTTGGTGTCCCCAAAGCCCTCCTTATCCACAAAGTGAGGGGATAAAAAAACAACCAACCAAACCTCACAAGAAACAAACAGGTAGAAGCTCCACAGGCTCCAATTAGTTTTTTGGTGGTTTTTTTCCACCTTAAAAGGAAGGTGCATTTCAAGGTTCTTCACATCATTTTGTCAGACTCTGGTTTCACTCGAAAACTCAACGAAGTGCAGTGGAACACAACCAGCAGAAAAGAAATACAGATTAAGGCTGAAAACACAACCCAGCCCCTTTGCAAAAGGCTGAGGTGAGAAACAAAGGGGCGGGGGGAGAACATTGGAGGCTGCAGTTAAAAAGAACAGGGGGCAGTTTAAGGAGACACAAGCTAAAATAAAGTTTAAAAATTCAGTACAACATATTGAAGACATTTTACTGAATTTACTGAATTCCCTGTGCTGTGCTGGGGGTGCTGCATGAAGTGCTGGGCTCTCCTTGGCATCCTCCCTGCAGGGGACAACAGCCTTCAGGAGGCTTCCCTGGGCATGTTTAGCCTGTCCCATAAAGCAGAGGCCAGAGCACATCCCAGGAAAAACCAGGAAAAATGCTCAGCCTCAGGATATAATTCAGAGGTTCTCCTCAGAGCAGCACAGACCCTGCATCCCACCCCATTTCTGATGGCACCTCACTGAAGATTCATGTTTAGATCAAGTCTCTCACCAAAGATGAGATGGTAAAAAAAAAAATTGGGTATTTATTAGCCAGTCCCAACATATTCAGTGAGAAACTGCACTAAAATGTTTTACAGAGAAAAAAAAAATATATTGGTTTTCTAATTCTGCCATGTCTCCAAATGGTTTTACAGAGAAGAGACCACCCTACAGAAATGTGGATTATATTGGGAACTGGGTTTGGCCACCTCATTTCTCCTTGGAGGTCAGACTAAATGAGTCCATTCTTCCTTCAGAGCCAGAACACAGGGATCTAATATTCCCCATATATCTAATACAGTGAATATCTAATACAGTGAATTAGATATTTAAATAATAAACCCCCAAAAAACCAACAATAGAATATTAACAGATCCTCAGGGAAAAACCCCACATTTTTTACTATCAAAACTAGATGCAATCCCATCCTGCTTCTCTCACAGCCCAGTGACTCCCTCCTCATCCCACTGTGGATGAAACATCTACCAGCAAAGCCAAAGTGGAGATCCCAAAGCACATCTTGACTCCAGGCCCCTATTCTGGGTAATATTCCACAACTAGGCTTCCATGTGGCCCCTCAGCACCCAAACCTCAAAGATATACATCCTGTATAAATCTAGGAGGGGAGTATTGACCACCAGCCTCTACACCCCAATTTACAGCCACACAGACGCCAAACTGTGGGGTTTGTTCCCTTTTTTAAAGCCACTTTCAATCCCAGGGAGAAAGAAGAGTGATTAGACTTCCCTGACATCGTTTTATGCTTCTATAGTAAACAGAAAACACATAGAAAACCCTGGAAATTCAGCAAGGAGGGGAAAAAAATGATTTTTTTTTTGGATGGCAGCAATGTGCGTCAAAGCAGCCAAGTTCAAACCCAGAGAAATTTAAAAGTGGAAATGCAGACCCAACCTTTGGGAGAATTAACACTGAAAAGCTGCTGGAAAGAAATAGTCAGACTTTATTTTGAGTTTACAGCCTAATTATTTTCGTATAGAAACTGTATATTGGGGGTTTAAAAAACGACTCCTTCGAAAATAATTGTTCCACTTTCACAACTTTAAAGGTTAGTTTTATGCAGAGGGTTTTACACTGCCTGCTTCCATGGCGGGGTTTTTTCCTGCTCTATGACTTCTTTGGGAGTTTACAGCATGATTATTTTCCCTTCAAAACTATTTTAAAAGACATAAATACCATGAAATTGGAAGGAATGGGATTCTACAATAAACTCATTTTTGAGAGAGAATAGGAGTGGCAGGGCCAATCCCCTCCTGTGTCCCAGAGCTGCAGTGTACCCAGGGATTCCAAGTTCCTGGACAGAAAGGAACAGAAGTGACTGTTCCTCTCCCAAACAAATTGCTGCCACTCAGCAAAGAAAGAATAGACCCACGTTGCTTTATAAATGGAACAATCTTATCTGCTTCCCAACAAGCTCAGAATTCACCGACCCAGGAACGTTCCCTACCACGTCCCCACTGCCAGGCCGAGGCAGAACGAAGCTGAGATTTCATTTCTTCAGCCAGCCTGATGTCAAATTTAACTCCCCCCATCCCATTTCACCCAGGGCACAAACAAGCTGCCTTTTTCTTCTTTTTTTTTTTTTTTTTTTTGCATTTTAACACCACCCAAAGCTGAAAGCTGAGATGGTAACGACAGAGCAAGGTTTGCAGCTCCAGTTTTATATTCCTTAAAAAAAAATTAATTAATTAAAAAAAGAAAGGGGGAGGAGGAAAAAAAAAAAAAAGGCATTAGAGGAAAGACAGAAACAGTAAAGCAGGACATTGTCAGGTGTAAATGCAGCAACACAACCCTGTGCACTTGCCAGACAGACACATACCTATAGATACAAGCTTGTGTGGATTATGACCACAAGTTCGGATCTACGGGTTTGTGGCCCCAGGCAGGGATTCTCTGCTGCCATTTGCAAGGTTTGGGGCTTGATTTTTGGAGGGGAAAAAAAAAAAACAAAAAAACACTCCTGCAGAAGAAATTTCAGAGCTGTTAGTGAGGAGCAGCCTTCGTTCTCTCAGCACCCAAAAACCCCTCTGTCAAAGGATGGGGGGTACAGTTCCTGATTGACTTTGCTCCAACACAAACTACGGTTTCCTGAGCTCCCCTGGAACCTTTTGAAAGAAAATCAGCAAAAACAAAACGATTTTTTTCTTTTTTAAACCAAACAAAACACAAAGCAGAGCCGTGGTCCTTTCTCGTAAGTGCTTTGCTGGAGAGAATTCCACAGAACTGGGGAATTAAGAGTTGGAGGTACAGCACTGACAGGGTAGCAAGGGATAAACCAGCAAAGTTGATGTGTGTAAACAGAGTGATAATGCACAGCCATCCCCCCACCCTGCAAAAAAGTTGTCCTGTTTCCATTCTGGCAGCCTGGTTGAAGCAGAAAGAAGAAACAACTGCCTAAGAGTTGTTTTAACTTTCAGAGAAGTCATCACTAGTTCTATTTTAATACCATTTTTAAAGAGGGGGAAAAAAAACTCCTTCACTCTGTATAAATTTCTCTGCATTTCTTCCTAAAATGACACAGACAAATACAAAACTTCTTTAGGATTTCTCAAGTTAAGTCTTGAAAAACAGTGGTGGAGCAAAGTTTTGCCACTGCAGGTAAGAAGTGTCCCCCCACTTCCCCTGAAGTTTCCAGGTCTTCTTTCCTGGGTGACTAATATTTCCCATTTTACTGGGAAAAATTAGGCTGAAAAGCAGCCTGGCTGTGAGCTCCTCACAGAGCTGGTGGAGAAAATCAAGGAGATCAACTGTTGCTTAAAGTGTCACAAACCTTCCACATTCTACCTCTTCTCTTTCTTCAGGAGACAAACTGTATTAATGCAAGTCAAATGTCATTCTCCATAAAATGAAACTGTCCACACTTGGAAAAGGAGTTTGCTATTTGGACGCTTTTAGAAAATTCCCCCACTTCTCGTGGAGGTTCTTAAAATAAATCACTTCAACCTTTCCAGCCTGGCAAATATGCAATGCTAAAATACAATTTTCCTTTATTTGGAATTACTGCTTGGGCTGGGCTACAAGGAACTCCCAGCAATAGGATGTCAAACTTTCACCATCTGTCCAAAGGTTGTCTAAACTGATCCCCTAAGTTCAGATTCCTACGATACTTACCTTAAAAATGTCCAGCTTTCAGCACTCAAAATCCATCTTGGAGGGGAGGAGCATCTTTGAAAAACCAGGATAACTTTCATGTTGGAGGCAAAACGGGATTTAGGAGCCCACCCCAGAAGCCAGAGAGCTCTTGAGGTCCTGCAGGAACAGCCACATCCCGCACAGCCACACGTATTGTGTGCCCTGGGAGCTGCAAACGGAGTACAACAAATGTTACCCTCCCAAAAATAACCCAGGCCCTCCATCTACAAAGCTCATTTATTCCAGGGGACCTGAGGTTAAAATGCAGGTTGTTCTTTGCCCTGTCTAGCAGGCACAACTACCAGGAGCCAGGAGTTCTGCTGATGCAGGTACCAGGATTTCTTACAGTGGCAAGGAACTTCTCCTTACGCCAACACTGCACAAGACAGTGTGTTTTCCTTATATTCACTATATTCATTTTGACCCTAATATCCTTTACACTAAGGTAGGTGTATTTTGCTTATTTTTATATGCATATAAACTAATTTCCATGTCTCTCCGCCGGCAAAGAAATACTTTTACTTTTTCATATGAAACAGGAAAAAAAAGTCATGATCTCACTGTAATACACATGCTGGGGGAGGTTATGGGTTTACTCAGTGTTTCTAGATCCAGAACTTCTTTTTTTTTTTTTTTTTTACCTTTTAATCTCATTTTCCAACCACTGGGACAGCTCAAGTCCCTGAAGGAAACCAAGCTGCAACATTCGGGTGGCCCCTGCATCCCTCCTTGTGGTCCAGGACACGTGTCCTCAGCTCTGCCTGGCCTGCAGGGAAGCTCCAGGCACCCAAAGGCAGACCTTGGAGGAGCCCAGCACGTGTCTGAGGGCAGCTGGGAGGTGCTGACCCACCCAGCAACCCCCTTGAACTCCCAGCCGAAAGGAGGGTTGATCTCTGCAGCATCTCCCACCCCCTTTGCTACCTGATTGGCTTTTCCAAAACAAAAGGAGTGTTGGGATCCCCCAGCAGAGCTCCACTCGGGTGAGAAAGGGGGAGAAAAAGGGGAAAGCAGCACCAGCTATCCCTAGAAAAGCTCCAGGTATGCCAAATAAATCCCTGCAGCAGGTCCCACTATAAATCTGAGTGACCCCTCCTGCATTCCTGCCCCGGGGGAAGGCGGGGCGCTGGCACAGGGGTGTCATTTGGTGGGCACCTGTATGTTATAAATTATCCTGGCACCGACCTGTTCCTATCCCTACAGTCTGGGAAACAAACTCACAGGCAGTTCTTGAGCCATTTGATAAACTCTTGTGCGAGCTGACAAAGGCAGCAGCAAATGAACCGCTTTCTTTGTTGAAAGACACAGATTTTTAATACTTTTTTGTTTGTATGAGCAGTGGTTTTTAAACATGAATTCCACTTATATCCAATAAATTCAGAGAGCCATAGATTATACAAGATCTGAGGTTTGCAACATTTCCCTCCATTGATTAACCACACAGCTATTGTACCTTCTGAAAACCTGATGAACATACACCCAGTGGCAGAAAATCCATGACAGGCAAACAAATCAATCATCACCACACTGTATTTGCCTGGAAGGCTAAAATTACAACAAAAAGTTTCAACCTGTACCTTAAGGAGCACAGGATTAATATGAAGGCTTGTGATGTCCTTATACTGAGCATAATTTGCTTCATTATTCGCTTTATAATGTATTAACGATCCCAGGATCAACAAGGTACCAGAACGTGGGACAGCCAAAAAAAGTTAATATATACACTTTTGTTGGTAATAACCCAGTATAAAACTGGCATTTTAGAGATTTATAGCCAAAGGAATATAGAAGGAAACATGCAGAAATCAAGTCTGTGGGTGGTATTCTTGCAAACCACAAAGCATAAATGCCCTGTCCAGGAAAATCGATCATTATGGAATGCATTGTGTGCCTGAGTAAAAAAGCTGTTTGCAGCCATTTCATACTTCTGCCACAAAAATAAGACAAATAAGAAACACGGCTGCTAAATAATCCCCATTCTTTTCCCTCACCTCTTCCCCCCCAAGTCTAATTAGGCCCATAAATATATATATATTTATATAAACTCACATGCACTCTACCTTAGGTTTAAAGACCTCTAAATCCAATTCTTTAAGGATTTCTGTGCTTCCAGTAATTTTAAGAAATGAGAAGGAAAAGGGAGATACTGACTGGGGAACGGATGAGAAACCAAATTACCTCAGCAGCAGCATTCTGCAAGATTTCCCATCGCCCGTGCGCTGCCATATTGCTAGGCCCAACTCCTCAAGGAATGTATCCTGGAAGACAAAATATTTATGGATATTTCCACGGCATATTTTCAACAAATGGATTCTGTCTTTCTACAGGAACGACAGAAGCTTCAGGAGCAAAAGGAACAAGCAACGTCCTAAGCGAGAAATAACCTCCCCCCTCCCAATATCTTAATTTTTCAGTTAATTTTTTTTTTTTTTTAAAAATGATATTTTTCCCGTGTTACACCTTTGGCTCGACCCTCCCCTCCCCTCTGCACAACGAGTGAAACCTGTGGAAATAAAACACTGCTTGCAACACAAACATTTCAGAAGTTTGCCGGTTCTATTCCCACCAAAAGCCACCAAGAGAAATAAAAGCACCGTGGAGGTTGTAACAGCAAACCCGCTCCCTGGCAGTCAGCAGCACGCACCAACTCCTTCAACTGATCAGTTATCACATCTAGATCCTCACCCAATTAAAGTTGGATAAAACAGAATCAAATAGGAGGGTCGTTACCTGCTTTGGAGAAGGTTCACCAAGCAAGCTTTTTAAAGCTTTTTTGACTCTTTTTAACACTGTGATACAAGGAATAATTATTTCTCTCTGCCGATGCGATTGTTAAAAGAAGAGAAACCCCGGATTGTGGTGGCTTCGTGGATGCTATTCTTTTTGCACCACAGCAGGATTCTTGGCTGCCAGTCCAAGCTGCTTTCACTTGCCAAGTTTTAAGATGCCGGTTTTGCCTTTCATTTTATTGTTCCTTTCGCAACGTTAAAGAGCGACTTAAAAAAACCACGCACAGCTGCTATCGGGGAGGGGGGGGGAATTATTTGAATTTTGCACAAGAATGGAGATGAGGAAGGCAAGGAGAGCGCTGTGATGTAACCACAACGACACCCACAGAAATATTCCCAATATTGGGGGGGGGGGAGGACGGGCTGGCGCTCCGGAATCCTGGCGTTTCCCTACGGCGCGGTTGGGATGTGGGGGGAGAGAAGGGAATAATAAACCCAGCCAGAGCTGTGATCAACCACGTTAGAGGTGGAGGTTGAGACTTCTCCCCTCGACACCCCACCACCAGCTCATTTTTTTTTTTTTTTAAATCCACTTAAGACTATTCTTCCTCGTGGAGGATTCCTTCCAGGGAGTGCAGAGGTTGGGGAGCAGCCCTGCTTAACAAAAGGATCCCCTCTCTGCCCACATCCTCCCACTCCACCCTCCGGTAGGATTCACCCATGCCCAGACACCGCGGCCTCTCTTTGACGCGACGCCACCGGGAGAGACTCGGCACCAGCCCAGTTCAGCTGCTCCTCCATCCATCAAACACATCCCTTCCTCGTAAGCCACCCATTTTAATTTTTTTTTTTAATAGCATAAAAAGCGGGAATTGATTTTAATATTCTCTTATTTTACTTATTAATTATTATTATTATTATTATTATTAAAAATCCCCAACTTCTCTGTCCGGGAGTTGATTTATTTTATTTTTACTTGACGCAGCTGGGACCGGTGCCAAGGCTCAAAAGCCTTTAAATGAACAAAACAGCAACAAAAAAGTTGTTTGTGATCCTTCTCAGGCTTTAACTATTAAAAGCATTACAGGGGGGGCTTATGCTCCACATACAAGTATAGAATAATATAACTCCTCTGCCAGACACACACGGAGTCAGCCCCAACTTCTCGAGGCAGACGTTGGAGGGACTTTTACACTTCACGTGCATGTAAAGAAAATTCCCACTGGGACACGGCTCCCTGCAGCCAGAAATGCCCACGGGGCAGCGGGAATGGCTGGGCACAAACTCTTTCTCCCAGTCCATAGGTGGCTGCTCATCCCAGCCCCGGCGAGCCAGAAAATGGAAGCTGTTTCAAACATAAAATAATCGAGGGTGAAAACAGCCCTGGCACCAGCTGTTGTATGTGCAGAGGTTCACGGCTGACTTTACAGCAGAAGATGAATCCACACCTCCCACCTCCCCCCCCCACAACTCCCCCAAATTTAATATTAGAAGAGAAAAAGAACCCGAGTAGAGACGAAGTTTCTATGAAAACCAACAGCCTCGAACAAAAGCGGCGTGAATTAATAAAGGGGAGGGGTTGGTGGAGGGGTGGGGGGGGGGAGAAGAAAAACAGAAGCTTTGTTCTAAAGTGGAAGCATAAGATGTGAAATTTCAAAATCAGATGGCTCGGGCTGTGATTTCTTTCATTTCAATGAATTGATCTGTTGCTAAACTGCTGCTCTCGTGCCAAGAAACTTTTAACTCTTTCGGCTCAAAACGCCCCGTGTTTTCGCTGGTTTGCCCTCTCCCCTCCCAAGAATTAAAATCAGAAAGGAGAAATTAAAAAGGCAGTGGGGAAGTAAAAAAAAAATGGGGAGAGGATAAAAAAGGACGGGGGGAATTAAACGTGGAATTAAAGCCACGAGCAGCAGCAGAACACAAAAGAGCCTCGGTCTGGAGCGTTGCGGTGCTTCGGTAGAACTTCTACTGTATAAACAACGTGATTCTGGCTCTCACAACGCTGCTAAAACTTGGAAAGGAGACAGAAAGGCCTCCAAGCTTCCCAATTTCCACCTCCAGCAAGAACTCCGGGGCAAACCCACCGAAACCTATCGGCAAGGCAAGCTCCCTGACCTAATTCACTGCAAATATTCACTTACCGAGAATGCCTTAAGCATTTCCAACAGAACCCCCTTCCCTACACATCTGAAAAAGAACACCAAAAAAAAGGAAAAAAGAAAAAAATCAAACTGAAAAGCTTTCAAAACCAACCCAAAACATAGCTGCTTTGGTAAAATTTGGGTGAAAAGTTCCTAGTGCTTTTCCGTTTTGGTTCGGGTTTGTTTTGCCCACTTAAAAAAAAAAAAAAACAAACAAATGAAAATAGACGTGTTGTAATTAGAGATAATTCCAGGGGGGAAACATTTATGTGTAGCATTAAAAAAATAAAAAAAAAAAAAAGAAAATTATATTTATATATCTATATACCTCCCTCTTTCCAGTTCTGCTGCAGTTCCCCCTAAACTGCTGCTGCTTGCTCCAATCTGCTGCCTGCTTAACAACGGAATGACAGGCAACATCTGTTTGTACAGAAGCCAAGATCGAGCCTTCAAAATTTTTTTGGCTCAGTTTCTTTTTTCTTTTTTTTTTTTATTTTCTTTTTCTACCCCCTCCCCCTCGAAAGCTTGGAAATGGAGGAAAAAAAAAAAAATAGAAGTAAAAGAAAAAGTCAAAGCACCCAGCAAGATTTTGAAGCAACTCAAGTGAGGCAGCAACTCTTTTTTTTTTTTCCTCCTTGAGTTATTTCAAGGTACGGGAGTCGAGGAGAACTCTTTGCTTCTCTCCACCCTCCTCCCCTGCTCTCCCCACCCTACAAGCCTCTCTCTTTGCCCCATGCTATTAATAAAGTATCACCCAAACTGGGGGGGGAAAAACCAGAATCCAACGTACCTTGATCCCTAAAAGGCCACTCCCTCCTACGGGGAGGGAGGGGGTTCTTCAGTAGGCAACTAAAAAAAATTGCACGGGGAGGGGAATATGGGATTGGGGGACAGTCTTGCCACACTCCTCTCACCCTGGTGGTTTGGATTTTTTTCCCCCCTCTCCTCCATTTTAAAGGCTACAAAATACATACTGCGTATTTGCAAAATAAAAGGAGCCGTTATGAAATAAATAAACAGGCGGATTATCATTATTATGATTATTATGATTATTATTATTTTAAAAAACAATTAAAATGAAATAAATAAAAACAAATCAGCCCAGCTCCAAGTACAATTCAAATGACTAACAATGTCAGGCTACTGCCAGTTCTGTGGCAAACGGGGAGAAAGCACAATAATTCCACATGCTGAGATGTGAACAACTGGAAGGGAACCAACTCTCTAGAAGTCACAATGAAAACTATTACAGTGCCCCCACCCCAAACCCAAGTCTCCCCCTGTACCCTCCTCTCTCCAGGGGTGGGGGGGAAAGAGGGGGAAAAAAAAAAAAATTAAGCCACTATTTTAACAAAAGGAAAAGGAAAAAAACAACAAGAAGACCATGGAGCGAAGGAGCTATTTAAGAACTCGGGGAATGTTTTATTCACCGGCGATTTGGGACAGTGCTCCTGCACACACACACACACCCCCCCCGCCAACGAAAAAACGAGGAAAAAAAAATAAAATAATCAGACAAGTTGCTAAGGAGACTTGTGTAAACTCGGAATACAGGCACATTTCTGGCCTTTCCCCCCGTATTCCATCTCGTATTCCGATCACGCACCACTGCGGCACGATTGCACCAATGCACTGCATTAATCTTGGCCTTAAACGGGCTGACTGGCAAAGCAAACTGTGTGTATGGATCATCTTTCAAACTTAACAAGTTAAAGGCAGAGAGGGTGGTGGTGGGTGGGGAGGGCCGGGGAGGAGGGGGACAGGGAGGAGGGGGGGCGGGAATCTTGGTGCTGAATATAAAATATAGGAGCCGAGCTTAGTAAGGGAATTTTAAAGAGGAAGTGTGATCCGGGCTGATACAGAAAGCTGCAAGGCCTCCCGAGCTCTCGCTGTGTCTCTCTCTCTCTCTCTCTCTCTCTCTCCCACTTCTCCTGACAAAATCCCCATCCCCTGGCAGATGTCTGAATCCCTGCCAGATCTAACAATGTGGGACCCACTCGCTGCCACCACGCACTCGGGGCTCATTCTCTCGGCACAGTGGGGTCATATATACATATTAAACAACCCCTTTTCTTCCCCCACCATCCCACCCCCCTTCAGTCCCTGGTGTGCACGTTCCCAACCCAGACATTCAGATGCAATATTTTCACCTTTACTTTCACCTTCTGCTTATGGGGAGATTAAATCAAGGCCTGAAGTATTTGTGCCTGTTGACCTTGTCCAAGACAGAATTTAACTTGGTGGGTTTGGGTTGGTTTTTTTTTTCCCTGTCCCTCGATTTGGGTGCAGGAAATCCACCCCTTTCTTTAAGCCCTCCTTCCATCTCTCACAACCTCAAATCCTCTCCTGCTGATGGACAGCTCAGTAGGATCACTCAACACCTGCTTTTTGCTCCTTTTGTGCCCCGCGTTTCACGAGAGGAGGATTTCCATCCTCACACGAGGAATCCAGTAATCTACAGGAAAAGCCAATTTCAAGGTCCCTTCAAACCATTCCAGGATTCTCTGACTGAAGGGTTTTACTCAGCATATTCCAGAAGGGAAACCCAAAGTGCCCTGAAGAGCATCACCTCTGCTTTACACCCAGGAGAAGCGATTCCTTGTCCCTGTCACTGCCAGGCCACGGTGCCACCCCATCCAGGAGGAGCATCCCCACGTGTTGGGAATGCATCAAACACTCATTCCCTGCCCCAGCACTCCTATTCCTGGGAGGGGCTGGAGCCCCTGTGCTGGGGAAGGGGTGAGGGTGCCAAACAAGTCCCACGGGCTTTGTCTCAGCTCAACCCTAAGATGCAAATGGGGGACTGTGACTAATGCTCTTGACAGGGCAGAAAGAGGGGACAATGTAAGAAATCTGGAAAAAAAAAAGGGCAAAAAAGCAAGAGTTGGACTCTGAGCATCATGTGGAGAGACTGGGCAGCAGGAACAACTCTACTGGTTTCCTCCACTTAATCTAATGACAGTCTCACTCTCAAGACTTTTATCACAGCCAGTTCTGGCAGCGTCCCTTCCTCTCGGCTCCAAGTGACACTCTGAGGGCATTACCGACATAGGAGAACACCATAAAGCTCTAATTGCTAAATTTGGGTTCCAAAGCAAGTGAATTTGTGCCACTGCACAAGTTAGAGACTGAAATGTGTATTTTAAAAATGTCCTTTGGGGTGTTAGTGGTCACACAGCCCCCCTGAACCTCACTCCCTGAAATTCAGAGGAGTCTAGTGTTGCCTCCCCTCATTATTTCTCATTTCTCCTCCACAAATCTACTGGAAAGTGGAAAATTTGACTCACCTGACTGCTTGTCTTTGTTTGGGAAGGGCCACCTAAAAACAAAAATACCAAATCAACAAGTTAAAACCATTCCTTTAAGATTTGGGGTTTGCCCTGACAAGTAAGGAAAAAGTAGAAATCATCATTAAAAAACAAAAACAAAACATTATTTCTCACATTTTAGAGCGTTTTTAAGGTAAACAAAAGCACACAAATAAACATTCCCTTTTCCCTTGCCTGCTCAGTTCCTTTGTACAGAGTGATGCTCCAAGCCCAAAAAGGAGGAGTCTGAGCACCCCAAACATTGAGGTCCCCACTCTTCCAAACAGATGGAATGAGGTTTAAGGTGTTGTTGCAGCTTCTGAAGGAGATTTTCACTTCTACAGCAGGGCCAGGAGAAGGGATCATGCCACCCCACTGAAAGGAACAGCTCAATAGTGGGCAAAGATCTGCACCTCTGCTCTCCAAATCCATCCTGAGCACAGGGACACGACCGTGTCTGCACAGCCTGAGCATCTTTCCAAGGAAAAACAGAATCCATAGGTCTCAGACCACTAAACATCAGTAAGACAGGGCACTTGCAAGGGCACCAATATGGAGAGAAAGTTGAACAGCAGCAAGAAAAATCACTTTAAACTGAAAAGACAATAGGTTTAGATTGGATATATGGAGGAAATTGTTCCCTGGGAGGGTAGGCAGGCCCTGGCACAGGTTGCCCAGAGAAGCTGTGGCTGCCCCAGCCCTGGAAGTGTCCAAGGCCAGGCTGGATGAAGCCCTGACAACCTGGGCTAGTGGAAGGTGTCCCTGCCCATGGCAAGGGGTAGGAATGAGACGAGCTTTAAGGTCCATTCCAACCCAAACCACTGAGTGATTCTATGATGAAAAGCTGAAGAGGCAAAAACACACTGAAACCCCTGCAGATGCAGCACCAGGTACTTTTTCATGCATTCCCAGTTTTGGGCCCTAACGTTCTCAGAGGAATTTCTAGTGCTGAGGTTGACTAAGTGGGGCTACATTTTTGTTTTGGTTGCAAATTGGAAGCCACTATTTTTATCCACAAGTCCCCCAAAGCATCTGTTTCTCTCTAGCTATTTAAGATTTCCTTTTATAAGACCTAGTTAGAGGTATATCATTATTTTTAAACGTTACTCTTCGCAGTCACACATTTTATCATCATTACATGTGTCATTATCCGTGCATTTGAACTGGGTAATTCGAAGATGAGGAGAGAAAATCCTTGCAGGGGGTCTGAGAGCTACTTCCCCTTGAGCAAATATTTTGGGATAATTCCTCTATCTGGTGCAAGCAACCCCTTCACAGGTCATGCTTTAAAAGTCATCTGGAGAAAGGAACTGTCTGGGAATATCCATTCAGAATAGGCTGAATCACCAGCAGAAAAGCAGAACACCCCATTTGTTTCTAATTTCTAGCCAAGGCACAACCATCTAGAAAAATCTGCAAATATCATTTGCTTTGGCTGGGAAACGTATTCACAGCAAATTCTGTTTCTTCCAAGGAGTAAAAATGGGGATATATCAAACTGTTCCATGGCTGGACTGCAAGGTAGAAGACCCCATGTCTTATTTAATGAGCTACATGGAGTCACAATTACAGCAGACCTGAGAGAGCAGCAGTTTTGGAACCACTTAAGGGTTCATGTAATGTGATGTAAATGCAGCTCAGGTCATTTAATTCAGGAAGGCACTTCCATTCTTGCAGTTTCTCTGACAGACCTACCTTGCTCCTCCTAATAGCTGTGGGGATTCTTTATTGCCTAATCACTGATGGCCCCAAGTGACAGGAAAGCAAATGAAAACTACTCCAATCTCCTCCTAGAGCAGGGAAAACACACCTGAGAGGCCAGGTCCATCATCCTGTTCCAGGAGACTGTCAGGCACCAGCAGTGGGATGCTATCACAACATGGACAAAGTCTCACCAAAAGAGATCAAAAGTCTCAAGCTCTGGGTCCAGACACGGGCAGGAGTGATGTTTGGAACTTCACTCCAAAGGGAGTAATGAAACCAGGACACAAGATATGTAGAATTTCAGTTCCTGACAAGCAACAGCCCAAATGTGAGCTAAGACTGTGCTGGGCTTGATGTTGTACTTGGAGTAAAAGCTGCTACACTGCCCAAGAGCAGGTCAAGTGCATCAAATGGTGAACAAAGTCACACATTATGAATGGGTTGGGTTACATTTTTCACACCTGTCAAGGCTTTCCAGCAAGGAATTTTGTCCTCTGTATGGACATCCATATGAAATCATAAAGAGAAAAAAAAAAAAAAAATCTAAATACTTCCATCTTGAAACCAAAGCTGTAACAAAGAGACCAAGCTGAGCAAAGGTAAATTTTAGCCAGAATAGCAATGGATCATCAGCAGGAGTGGGAACAACCTCAGTGGGTGGGGAGGTGGGCCAGCCCCTGGACAACCACGTTGATCAGGACCCAACACCTCCTGGTGAGCACGGAGAGTGCACTTTTCTCTCCCTCAGGCTGCCCATCCCTCCCCAGAGCTGCCCCTGCCTGCCGTGTGCCCTCTGGGGAGAACATGTGCACACACCTACACATTCCTGCTGCATTATTCCATGCAAGGCTCATTCCCTTGGCCACTGGTGCACTGAGCTCCCAGCTAATCAACCCTCTGAGAGCCAAGGCAAAGACAGAAATGCTTGACTGGCACCTCATCAGGTATAAATCACGGGGGAAAGGTGCTGCTGTTGTGTTTCTGGGAGCCCAACCTTCCAACAGGGAACACAACCACCCAAAACAGGACAACTGATTCTGTAAACTGCTCTGGACAGGCAAAGCAACAAGTAGGTACAAATTAATTTAGCAGAAAATACATATTGGCACATCTAATGGAAGCCTGCAGTAACTGTCCTTCCCTCTCCCCTCCCCTCCTAACACGAAGCTGGCAAATGTCCATGTCAGGTACCAGGGAGACAAACCTTCATCCCAGTCTTCTCCATCAGATTGTGACTGTCCTTTGCAAAGAACTTCTTCAAAGAAGAGGATTCCAATGATCAGAACTTACCAAAATACCTGCTCACAAATATGGTTCTTCACCCTCCTTTTAGCACTGCTGGTGGACATTCATTCCTTGGGCATCCAACCAAACCCAGAGAAAAATGTGCCCTACCTTCATTTCCTGGTGTTGCCACCCCTCAGTCCCTCTGATCCAGGCTGTTTCTCATTGCCACCAGGCTCAGTAAATAGCATTAATCATCCTGTCCTTCAAACTTGCCTGAGCTTTTGTGCCCTTACCTTCAAACTTCAAAGGGTTTCCCTCTCGTAGGCACACAGGGCTGAAGCATTATTTTAACCCTACAGTTAAGGCTCTCAGAAAATCACTTGCACCATCGAGGAGGAGCTTTCAGTGCTACCAGTTCACTGCTGAAATGGTGAGAGCAGAGCACGGGGTTGGAGCACAGTGATTTTCAGGAGCTCACAGAGGAAGTGCACAACAGAGCCTGGAATTTATCTCACATCTCTTGGCCCCAGTCCAAATGCTTAAACCACAACATCATCCTTCAGGCCTGGGACACCAACTAAATCTTTAACCCTCGTACTGTAACATCCTGAGGCACTTTTAATAAGTTTTGAAGCAGAGGTGGCCTCCAGCCTAAGGCAGGATCCTGCTCTGACTGCCCAGTGCTCAAAGACAAGCCCAAGTTTGGGACCTGTCTGTTGGATGACAGTCCACGCTGGCTTTAATCTCTGATTTGGGCATTTCACACCCTGGACACGATACAACACTGACATATTTCTGCCTCAGCTGTGCTCTGACAGTTTGCTGGGCTCTGAAAACAGGGAGGGAGAGTTTTCCAGATTCAGTATCTTACTGAGGGTGTGTCCCTTGCCACCCCTTCCCTCTACAACCTCAAAAGGGAGAAAAAAATGGAACAATCAGAACTTTAGGAAAACTGCAAAGCAGCGAGCAGAATTTAAAAATATTTTGGGAAGGGAATGTTGAAGCACAAACCAACGAGTTTTCTTGGAGAAGATTTGTGGGGAGGAAAGAGGGAGGTCTTCTGCTGCTTTTAGTAGGTATAAAAACCTTGTCACCCCATTTTCCTTCAACACAGACCCAGACAGAAAACAAAGTGAAATATGCTGATTATCATAGGAAGAGTGATGTCTGGGGAGGGAAGGAAGGTGGAGTAAGAGACATGTGTCTACATGCCCACCACCAGAGCAAGGAGGGTTGAAGTGAAGCAGATACAGATGTGAAAACAGCCAGTCTTACTGGGGCAGGACACGACCCTCAGGGCCACCTGTCCACCTCCTCTTCAGCCTGGGAGTTGAGAAGGACCAAGTGACACCAGTGGGGTCACAGCTCAGCACACCTCACAGACCACCTGATGGGGAAAACATCTACCCCTTTCAGAGGGAAACTGCTCCACCACTTCAGCTCTTCTGGTTGCATATCCCCCTCAGAACAGAGCACAGGCAGAGCTTGATCTCATCTCCATTTCCCAAATCTAGGTCACCTCAATCCGTGGTTGCGCTGCCAGTGGTACCTCTAAGGGTTGCCACAGCCCTGTTTGAAGTCAGTCAGCAGCAAGTCTGGGGGCATTAGACAGCACCTAAGGAGCAAACAGAGAGGCTTCTTACGGCCCAGTCACAGAAGGGGTTGGATCACCCACACCTTCAGTGGTGTCTCACTTAGAACCAAAAGCCAAAAAAAATCCACCTTTCCAGCTCTGGACACAGCCACAGCAGAATGCATCATTCCTGACTGCCAGGCTATTCCAGTCTGGCTGCAGAACTCATCTTTGGTAAGAGGAAACAGGGATGGAACAGGCTGAGAAAGTGGTTCATTCACACGCTGCTGTCACACTTCCTGGAGGTATCCTGGTGTCTCTCTCTGAGGCACCTGCAGATCTAAGATCAGCACAATGAGGGCTGAAACCAGCCCTCACAATTCAACAAATGCAGCCTTTTCCCTCTCCTTGCTCATGTGGGATTGTCCCTTCAAAGGATGAACGCGCAGAAGACGCTCTTGTTTGTCACAGCAACATCCCCTGCTGCGAACCAGAAGAGGGAGAAGA